TCACTTTATCTCACTACGGTGTATTCGCAGGAATCATGTAATCTACTTCCAAGTACGTACTCTTTTTTTTTCCCTTTCCCTGCTCGTATGAATTACCAGGATACTAGATTTGCTTAATCACGTTGCCTTTGGTTTGAGTGTTTGAAACTGCAAATTAACTAACTGTACATACATCCATTCATTCATTCATTCATTCATCTATCTTTTCTTCTATCTCGTACAACTCACCGGGTATCCAGTATGAAGACATGAATATGTCATGGATAGCAGCACTAGCTATCTCTCTCTCTCTCTCTCTCTCTCTCAGTCAGTCTATCAGCCAGTCTACCATCATCCCCAACACCAACGCTGAGCCTTTCCTTCCGCCAACCTCCAACCCCCCCCCCCTCCCCTGCATATCCAACACATGCACATGCACATACAAACATGTACAGTAAGTATATATGTAGGAACATGAAAAGAACAAACAACTGATGTGATTAATACCCCCTTAACTAGTCTCCAGCCGAGCAAGTGAGTGAGTGAGTGAGTGAGTGAGTGAGTGAGTGAGTGAGTGAGTCAGCGCATTGATACTAGACCAGGGGCTTCTTCTTGCATATCTTCATGTATATGTATGTATTTGATACTGGCCTTGCGTAAGTACTTTACGACATCCATCTACACACACACACACTGATAAAACAAACGCACAAACACGCGAGGAATCCCTACATGAACATTCAAACCCAACCTAACCTTTTTTTTGTAAAACATCCTCGACGAATACAGACACTTTGCTCCGTCTGCTTCCAGCCTAAAACTGTTATTTCCCCCCCCACCCCACCAACCACCAACCACCATCGTCTCAGCTTTGTCTGCGCCCGAGTTTTTTCTCATCTCCTTGTTTTTCTTTTCTCTCGGTCTTACAGCATACATTGAATATAAAAAAAGAAAAAAAACACCCGCATGAATGAAGAGAAGAAAGAAAAAAAAAGAGGTATATCTACAATTACATGAACGCTTGACTCGTCCATACGGCCTGCGAATGGAACAAACAAAGCTCGTGTCTCGTTCCCATCCCCCCCTTCTACCACGTCTATTGACTTTCTTGTTTGGGCTGCTGTAATGTTTGCTGCTGCTGCTGCTGCGCTTGCTGTTGTGCTTGTTGCAAACTTTGCTGTAGAGCATTCTGACCCCAATTTGGCTGCAAGCCAGCGCTATTCGGCGGCTGTACTGTATTTGAGCCGACGCGTTGTGGGCCCGGCGATTGCTTCATCTGCCCCGTCTGGCCCTTCCAGCCGGGAAACAGCTCTTGGAGCTTGGTGTATAGTTTGGCAAGCTCCGGGTGTGACGCGGGCACCGACATGATGGCGGGCCCCGGTTGCATTTGCTGGCCTGGCTTGGGCACCTTTTCGGCGTTCTGCGCGAGGTAGGCGAGGTTTGCTTGGAGACGGCGCATGTAGCTGGACGCGCCGTGTCAGCTTGGGGTTGTGGACACAAAGGGGGGGGGGGGGCCGGATAGTACTTACTCGACATACTCCTTGGATGGCTGGGCCTTCTCGCCCTCTGGCTTCCTGTCGGGCGTGGCGCCTACATGGCCCGACTTGCCCTGGGCCTGCAGGTCGCACACGTCCTTGATCAGGATGCTGTTGATCTCGAGCAGCGTCGCGACGCGGTCCTGGGTACGCGCCGGGGTGACGGGCGACATGGGCGAGGGCGGCACGGGCTTGACGGGCGTGTGGACCTGGGGCGGGTCCGACTTGACGGGCAGCTGGAGGTTCATGGGCGTGTGCTGGCCGTTTGAGGGCAGGCTGCTGGGCGAGGGCTGGGGCTGGGGCGTCGCAAAGGGCGGCTGTCCCGTGACGCTGGCGGGCGAGGCCGTCTGGCGGTTCTGGGCGAATTGCTGGTGGGCAGGCGAGGGCATGGGCTGGGCAAAGGGCGCGGTCGAGTAGGGGCTGGGCGACGACAGCTGGTGGTGCTGTTGCTGCTGCGGGTGGTGTTGGGCGTGGTGTAGGGCGGCTGCTCCATGGCGTCAGTCAGTCCGTCTGTCAGCGTGGACAAGAGTCCTCGGGCGGCCATGGACCGGCTTACCTCGCTGCTGGAGATACGGGGCTCCAGGCTGCATTACACTATTTCCCATGGCGCCACCCATGGCCGGAAACGGGCCCTGTTGCGCATACTGGCCGGGCGTGGAGGGTTGCTGCTGGAGGCGGGCTTGCGGATCAAATTGGGCGTGTTGCGGGGAATTGGCAAACTGGCCGCCGTACGCATTAGGGTTATTGAAATCCATCGCCGGCACTCATTGGCCACGTCGCACAGCTCGGATTAGATTGATCGGTGGGTTGATGGGGAGAAAATGCGGTTCGTGATAAGGTTAGGATTCGGCTCTAGAAGCCTTCGAATCCAGCCGGCCACCCAGCCGAGCGAGTCATGGCCTTGACCCAAGCTCCCCTGGCAGCGCGTCCACCGTCCAAGGCGTCCAGAGAGCCGCACCCACCGCGCTGCCACGACGAAGCCCGCCGACCACCACCACCACCACCACCACCACCAGCGCAGCCCTCGTCTTGGTGCCCGCCTGCCCGCCGTGCCGTGGGCGTTGCAGCCAGCCCATGACGCCGCGCCACCACCACGGCCTCCATCCCTCGCTCTCCCCGCGCATCCCTGCTCCCCCGGCCCACAAAAACGCTTGACATGTCGTCCGGGATGTGACGAGACGCGTCCAGAGCTGCCTCTCAGGTACCACCGCTGGCCCTCTTAATTACCACCGCGTCCGGTCCTGCATACCATGTGCCCATCCATGTCCCATCCATGTGCCCATCTCGCCGCCTGCCCACCTCGCCCACCTCGCCTTGTACTCGAGCCGACCTCCCTCCGCCTCCTCCTCTAGACCCCCTCGGTGCGTGCCATGATATCTGTACCCATGTGCCCGCTGAACTTTGACATGCACTGCTTTCGGTCCGAACGGATGGATATACCACGCAGACACCCAAGCGCCATGAGACTCATCCTCGGCCCAGCACCTCCTCCTTGGTCGGTGTCTCTTTGCGCCGCAGGGCCACAAAGTACGCCTCTCTGGATTCCTGCGACGGTTAGCAGTCGACGCCCCAAGGCCAGGCCGGGGTGCATACTGCGCGTGACGACTCGGGCTTCTCGCGCTGGACTTTGGTAAAGAGCCGCTTCAGCTTCGTCTCAAACGCCTTCTCTTCCGGGCCCTGGTAGTACTTGCAAAGAAAGTGGCCCCCCGTCTTCAGTGTGTCAAACACAAACGTCAGCGCTGCCATGCACAGATCCTATCTCCGTCAGTCTAGTTTTGCCTTGTCCGCGAGGGCATACCAACCATGCTGCCCGCATGGTCTCTGAAAGCATTGCCGCTGGTGTTCATCATCCTAAAATATGGGTCACTAAGGCTCTTTTTGTAGAAGCCAGTCGTTTGGTCCCAGGGTGCTGACATGTCGCTGAGTACCACGTCCACTACTCTTCCCTGCTGCATATCCCGCTCTTTTAGAGATAGCTTGGCCGCGGATGATGCGTCGCCATCCTTGTTCTCTATCGGCTGCCCAATCACTTCAAGGTCGGCGCCGTCTAGATGCGCCTGGCGCTCAATGTCAATGTATCCCCGCTGCATTTCTTCCAGCTCTTCCTCAGTAAGCCCTTCACTGACGCTCGAGGAAATCTGTCTCCTGGGCCGACCCAGCTCAGGGTCTCGCACATATGCCCGCACCTCTTCTTGGATGGCAGGGGACAAGAAGTCGCCTTGAATGGTCGAGACACCCCGGGGAGGTTGCGCTGGTATGAGATCAATGCCAATCACACGTCCGTCTGGAGATGTACGGTTCACAGCCACCTAACCAGAGTGAGATGAGTTTGGACGTAGAATATAACATCAGCGAACCTGACACCATGAGCCCGGTGCATATCCCTGGCTGTGTTAACCTTGACTCTTTCAACACCCACATGCACGCCTACCAAATCAACAACCGTTTGACCGGGCTTGAACAGTTTGTGTTTTTCATTGAGCTGTGCGTGATTAGTCACTGCGCACTCTTACTGCGATGCGCTCCTACCTCGAGCAGCTTGAAAGCCGCACGGCTCTTCAAGCCCTTCACCCGGGCTTCTTTGGCGAAAAAATCTCTGCCCTGTCGCGATTTCCACCTTGTCGAGGACGATGAAGAATGCCGAGTCCATGGGGCCAATGCTCGAGCAGGAGAGCTGCAGGTTGCACATGCTGATGCAAAGCATACCGCATGTTTTGGGTGAGCGCAACGGCCCAGCAGCAAGCTATCGGTCAGCTGTCGAAAAAGGCGACGTGATAGCATGATGCAGGCGTAGAGGGAGAGTTTCTACGGCTCGCGCTTTGCGGCAAGGATCGATCCACCCTACGCAGCACAAGCCACTTATCGATAACGAACAGAGCACCGCGACCCGACCATCTTCACGTAGTACGACATGCATGCAGCAGGCGTACTTCTGGGCTAATCGTTGTTTCCATGCAAACACTCTTTCCTGAAGCCGTGCAGCCATTGCGGCCATTGCAGTCACAGGCTCACCAGCCACCATGTCGGTTCCTTTGGGAGGACTCGGTAGTTTTCCATCGCCAGCAGCATTCCGCGATCCGATATATTATCGCCCCCCTCAAGGTCGACCTCGGATTACCCAAATCATCACCAAGTCCTTCCACGGCCGATGTATGCACCCCACAGTCTGCAGTGGGCATGGCAAGATATCGTCGTGGCTGGCTGTTGGTCGACTTGTTGTTCCGCGTGTGCAGGTGAATGGCGACTACGAGGGCTGTCCAGCCATGCTCTCGAGCGACACGGGGCGTCGTCTCAGGTTATTGCACTGTTGGCGTACGGCAACAAAGACTCTATTTCTTTGACAGCTGACCAGAAAGGGATGACGTGCGCAGCTGACGGCAGCGCCCACGGCCCTGGTAAGGGGTGCTGGGGCGTAGCACCGGACTTTTCTAGAATGCCTTGCGCCCCTGGCCGTCTGGCAATAAGTATGTGAGCATGTGCACATAGTCTGGACGGCCCCAAGACTGTGCTACATGACGCATGCCGAGTCGTCTTGCCTCGAGCCATGTGCAGCGCCATGTGCAGCCAGCTGGGCATATCGTCGACAGACAGCGGCCGGGAACAGACGACAGGTGTCACTCGGAGCCAGGTATCTCGTCGCAACGGTCCGGACTGGGCTGTCAGCGAGTACCGGGCGGTTTATACTTAAACGCGGCGCGGTTCGTTGGTTGGCCGCGCTAGACTAAAATCTGCCTCTTCCTCCGCTTGTCCTCAAATCTCCACATCGCATGCCAGCCAAACACGGCCAACCCCATCGCTCGGCGACACACACGACACAGGCGCGCCCACGAGTGCAGACAATCCTCTCCTAGCCGCCTTGCATGGAACATCGAATTCACCGCGCATTGACCGTCTCCACCGCTCTCACACAACGAGAAACCTGTCTACATCGCCGCCGCAGTCACCTCCGATGACCTCGAAACCACGTCGCGCCGCCTTTCCTTTGCTCCGATAGAACCTTTGCTCCGCTCCGGCTGCACCAGACTCGCTCCATCCGACAGCAGCGCGCCCCCCGCCCCCCTGATCGTATCGTGGACCGACACCATGTCGAAACCCTCAGAGAAGCCGCAGCCACAGGCGGCCGCCATTATGAGCGATGAGCCTGGAGAAGGCGTCAAAGTATGTCGTAGCACGGCCTGCACCCCCAAGACTTCAATTGACACATGCATCCAGGCTCTCGGCACTCCCGACATCACCAGCCTGCAGCGCATCCGACAGGTCTTTGCGCAGCCAGTTCTCGCTTCCTTCGTTGCCGGTGGTGTAGCTGGCGCAGTTTCCCGCACCGTCGTTTCCCCCCTCGAACGCCTCAAGATCATCTTCCAAGTCCAGAGCGTCGGTCGCGAGGAATACAAGATGTCAGTGCCCAAGGCGCTGGCCAAGATGTGGAGGGAAGAGGGCTGGCGAGGCTTCATGGCTGGAAACGGAACCAACTGCATACGCATCGTTCCCTACTCTGCCGTGCAGTTTAGCGCGTACAATGTCTACAAGCGGGTAAGTCCATTTCTGGAATTTGGCGGTTTTCTTGATTTTTTGGCGAGTCACTTGCTTTTTGGGTTGGATCAGGAGGAGCAAGACAGGACACACTTGATGCAAGTCTGGAGTCTAGGGCTGGAATGGGTAGGGTGAGGAGGCAGGAAAAAGACGGAATATTTGGACAAGGACAATAACGGTCGGGACGGCCTTGGCAACTTCAACAGCTAACTTGCCCTAGTTCTTCGAGAGCGAACCAGGTGCCTCGCTCGACGCTTACCAGCGACTGTTCTGTGGAGGTCTCGCCGGTATCACTTCTGTCACCTTCACGTATCCGCTCGATATTGTACGCACACGTTTGTCGATTCAGTCTGCATCGTTTTCGGCGCTCAAGAAAGAGGCTGGCCAGAAGCTACCGGGTATGTGGGCACTCATGGTGGACATGTACAAGACTGAGGGTGGAATCTCGGCCCTGTATCGGGGCATCCTGCCTACGGTAGCTGGTGTTGCACCCTATGTCGGCCTAAACTTTATGGTCTATGAAATTGCCCGCACCCAGTTTACCCCCGAAGGCGAGAAGGACCCTAGTGCCGTGGGCAAGCTGGCAGCTGGTGCCGTCTCGGGCGCCGTTGCACAGACGATTACATACCCGTTCGACGTCCTGCGGCGGCGATTCCAGGTCAACACCATGAGCGGTATGGGATACCAGTACACGGGCGTTGGCGATGCGGTCAAGCAGATTATCAAGACGGAGGGTCTGAGGGGCATGTACAAGGGCATTGTGCCCAATCTGCTCAAGGTTGCACCCAGCATGGCCAGCAGCTGGCTTAGCTTTGAAATGACACGAGACTTGCTCATGGGCAAGTGGAACTCTGGCTTCTTGTAAGCCGATTTACCCGAACGCCACCTAGCTCAGATCGGCAGCAGCTTATTACTGCACACACCGCTTTTCGAGCACTCTTCCGGATAGACAGCGACACATTAACGACCACGACGACCCATTGTGGGGAAATGAACATGCAACACGAACATTCTCGAAGAAAAGAAAAAGAAAAAACATCAGCATTGCATTGGGATTAGCGTGGCTGGGAGATTTAATCTGGGGAACACCGTGACAAAAACCCCCTCCTCCCCCTAAATTTATGGATATAGCGACGGCGTTTGAACTAAGGGGGGATCCGTTTTGCAAACTGGCCACTTGTAACAACGATTTTGCTTCATTCTTGCCTTTCTCTTTCTTTCTTTCTTTCTTTCTTTCTTTTCTTCTCGAAGCCCTTTTCTCGGAGCCACAAACTTTTACCCCCTCTGCCTCTAGAGAGAGAAAAAAGGGCGATGACGAGGAGGGGGGGGAGGCGCTTCAAAGAAAACAGCCATTGGGAAGGTTTCCACATAGACGCATCTTTTGCACAGTCCAAACGTGATTAGGACATGGACATGGCATGCCCTGTATAACAAACATTGACGGCCTCGAAATGTAGTAGGGGGGAGGGGGGGGCTCATAATCAGGATACGCTTGAGAATATAGAGGGAATTTCATTCTGACCGTTGCAAAAAGAAAAAGTTATGTTTTGAGCTTGTTGGTTGATTGGTAGTGGTATTATTGGTAGTGGTGATGACGATGATGATGATTGTCAGCCATTGGGAATTATACAAGTAAGCGGCATGTTGGGATTCCGCAACTCTAAGCCTTTACCAGCACTACTACGTACGTCGGTACTACATAGCACCATTAGTCCAGTGCGGCAAAAGTTGAAAGGACATGGCATTTGAGAGACGGGCTGAATTATAAAAAAAACAGACTACTACCCACAGCATATTGAACGCTTCTTTGTGATAGATGTATGTACATATCATAGCAGTGTTACGACTAGACTCTGTTTCAAATGTGCCAATGATGACTGAAAACTAGTATGTCATACCAAGTCTCTGATACTTAGAATTAGTGTTAGCACATGGTACCCCGACGATCAGCCCAATACTCGTCTTCCTCAAGAGCCGTAGCTTCCTTGGCCAGGCGATCCGCCAGGGTATTCCTGCTTCTGGGGATGCGCCAGAACAAGACTTTGACGCCAGCTTTGCTCCATTTGTCGCGTAGTCTGATGAGCTCTAGCCAGAGGTCCTGGTTCTTGACGGGCTGGTGTGTTGATGTCTGCCATCCGTTTCGCATCCATTTCGTGATCCACGCCGTGCAGCCGTCGACGACGTACGCCGAGTCTGTTGCAATGACGAGGCGGCGGCAGCCCTCGTTGTTCCACAGACGATAGCCAAGCGCAGCAATGACGGCGCGCAGCTCCGCACGGTTACTCGTCTGCGGCACGGCTTCGCCCGTTGGGCCGCGGGATTCCAGTCGGAATTTCGAAGCGCCGAGTTGATGCAGTTTCATCGAAGCAGTCGAGTGCCCGGAAGACGTTGTGGGCGGAATCATCGAGGGTGAAGTTTCGGGGCGAAAGACAAAGGCACAGCCGCCTCGCCCATCGTTAGCTCCGTTGTTGCTGCAGGCCCCGTCCGTGTAGATGAGAAACTCGGATACATCTGAACAGCGAATGAAGCGTGGAGCCTGGATCGTGGCCTGTGACAAACGAGGCACAAAGAGATGTTCCGGGGTATCTGTCGCATTTGGAGCAACGAATCGTGTGAAATTGGATGCCGGATCAAGAGGTGGGAAGAGCGGTTGGACGTCTTGGCCACCAAGAACGACGTTGACACCTTGTGGAAGGAAACCTTCGGGAACAACGTGAAACATACGACCAACAGTATTCATGATTGGATAACAGAGAGAAGAAGTGTTTCATTTACGGTCAGTGCTATCTGCAGTCAAGTTGTCCTGACTACCCCGCAGAGTCACGTGTGGCAGCATTACACCGCTCTTGGAGCTTCGCTATTTATCAGTTTTATCACATGCTTTTCATGCGTCTATTCTTGGGAAGCTTTCTGCAATACTTCGGCAATATAATGCCAGGGGTCTAGGCCACGTCTTAGCTGTATTTTGTTCGACCTTTAGGCCGTGCAGGGGTTGTAGGTGTGGATATAGTTTCTTGCTGTTAGATATATTAGACATGGATGCTGTAGTGACACACCCCAAGACTGATTACTCGGAATGCGAGAAAAATGGTATTTACAGCCTAATTTTCATTTCCCCTACAGAGCACCGTCCTTCCTCAGCGTCTCGTTGCCCCAGGGCTCGCTGGTCAAGCTGGTCAAGCCACCGGCAGGCTCGCAAGTGCTCCGTCCACTCAATGGGCCTGGCGACGGCACCTTGAGGCTACCTGCGCTTCCGCCCGTGGCCTGGGAAGAGTGCTTGAGCGCCTTGAGCAGGTTGACTGTCGAGTCGTATGTGAGGTCCTCGTAGTAATCGTCGTTGATCTGGACCATGGGGGCGTTGGCACAGGCGCCCAGGCACTCGACCTCGGTAAATGTGAAGAGCCCGTCTGACGTCGTCTCGCCGTGGTGGATGCCGAGTACATCCTCGACCGCCTTCATGACGGAATCGCTGTCACAGAGCATGCATGGGGTCTGCGAGTCTTGCGTCAATTCTGTCTCTTGGATTCCTTGCAACCCCACAAACTTACCGTTGTGCAGACCTGGACGTGGTACTTGCCCACGGGATCGCGGTTGTACATGGTGTAGAAGGTGGCGACCTCGTAGACACGCATGGGCGGCATCTCGAGGATGCGCGCAACCTCGTTCATGACGCTGATGCTGCAGAAGCCGTGCTGGCGCTGGCCGAGGTCGAGCAGCGGCATGACGGCGGCCTTTTTGTACTGCGAGGGGTATCGCGAGACGATTTCCTTGATGAGCTCCTCATTCTGCGGCGTGAAAGAGAAGGGGATCTTGGCGTTGTTCTGCGGCGTGTCGCGGTGCTGGAGAGGGCATTAGCACATGTTTGGCTTTGCTCGCATTTTCTGCCTCCCAACGCCCGCTGGATTGTGTGTGTGTGTGTGTGCGAAAAGGTCAATTAACATACGACGTTGAGAGAGCCGCCCTCACTCGCCGCCGGGCGCGACACGCTGAACGGCCGCCATTGAGGCCTCTGGAACGGTCGCGCGGCGCGTGGGGCCAGTCGGCATGCAAAAGGGACCAGTCTCGAGGCCATGGTGGGTTGTGCTGCGGGCGGGAGGCAATGGCCGTGGATTGAAGATGTCAACGATGAAGCTCGTCCGAAGGTGCCAAGGCGGGCAGGGATGGTTGCAATCCGCCTCGTGTGATTGGCTGGGCGGCCAGGCTCGACGACGTCGCCAGCCTACCGCAACCCCTCGTCGTCGACACGTCCATCGCCATGTCCATCTCCATGCACGCCCTCGGTCACGGCCAGCGAGGGGGTGCCATTCCCAGCATCGGCATTCACGTTACTGATGGATGACGCCTTTACTCGATCGCGTGTTCCCGGGGCGGTCTCCACGGCTCTAGAGGGCTCTGGCTGCTCGACACACGGCGCTTGGTGTGGCAACCCATGCCCACTTACGGCTGAGCCCGCCACGTAGCCCTGCTCCACCGACCACGGCCGCCTGGATGGCTCGCTGTGCACGCTGACCACAGGCGCGGATGCTTCATTTTTTCCAGGGCCAGACGGCGATTCGGGCGGCGGGGCCTGTGTCTTTGCTGGCACCCACGAGACGCTGGGCCTCGGGCGGCGGGCAGAGGGAAGAGGAGGGAGCGAGGCTGCTTGGGCGATGGACCGATTCGCGGCAACACCAATGGAAGGGCGCCTGTGGCCGTCTACCACGTCCACGTCGGATGCGGGCGGGGCTGCCACTGTCGAGCCCGGTGCAGCGCGCGGTCCTGCAGCTCCTCAAAAGAATGCTCGGTGGGCGAAGCAACGCACAGTAAATGCCTCTCGTCCCCGTCACATGTGGAACGGCTCTGCACCTCACAGCCAATCGGGCCAGTCTTCGCCTCACCCGCGGCGGGCAAAGCCTGCCGTCTGATGTGTTGTACGCTTCTTTGCAGTGTCAATTTTGGCGTCTTCACGCCTGCAGCCCCGACAGTGCTCCTAACCTTGGGGTCGTGTTTCAGAGTCACCATGTGCCCACACTACGTGTACAGGCACGCCATCACTCTTACCGCGCTTCACTAGCATGGCGGTCAACCAACCTCTCCTGATATATATAAGTACCTCTTGTCAGCGATGCGTTGGCCCCCTCAATTCCTCCTTCGCATTCTCTCTCGCTAGTACCCACATCTAATCCCTTGTACCCTTGTTTTATACCTGTACAAATTTATACACAGTCCTCCTCTCCCACCACCACTACCCTTTTACACACACACCGAGCATGTGCAGATTCACCATTGCCACGCTCGAGTGCGGGCACCCGCAAGAAGACCACGTCGACACATATGGCTGCCCCTATTTCCAAAGAAGTAACCTGCACTGTGACCGCGACAACCCCAACAACAAGGACCGCTTTACCATCCGAACATGGGACCGCGAGGGCATCTGCAACCGGTGTCTGAGCATGGCACGCAAGAGAGAGGAAGAGGCGATTGAGCGCGAGCAGCGCAAGTACGACGAGCAGCGGCGCCGCGAGGCCAAGGAGCGCGAGGAGGAGCTACGCCGCGGCGAGCGCGAGGTGCTCGAAAAGGGCCATCGCCAGGCCGAGGAGGAGCGTCTGGCTGAGAAGCGGCGCCGTGATGAAGCACGCGAGGCCCGTCTGCGCCAGGAGCGTGCCCACGAGGAGCGCGTCAGGGAGATGGAGCGAAAGAGCAAGGAGGAGTATGACCGCCAGATCCAGAACCAGATGGACCGCGACATGGAGTACATGATGAAGCAGTCGCGCGAAGAGGCCATGCGGCGGGAGCAGGAAGAGGAGGAGGAGATACGACGTGCGCTGGCCGAGTCGGCGAGACTGCTCGACGAGGAGAGGAGGAGTCAAGAGGACCGGGTGAGTTTTTTCTTCTCCTTCTTCTTCTTCTATATTCCCATCCATTCACACCATGAGAAACATCAACTAACACCACCCGTCTAGATGACTTCCTCATCGCGAGACCGCGACGACGACCGCATAGAATCCTGGATCAAGAGCACCACAACCACAAACACAACCACGACACCCAGAATATACACTCCACCAACAATGTCGGCTTCGCCCCCCTCTCCACCCGCTACACCCCCTAAACTGGCCGCTTCGCCTCCTCCACCACCACCGCTGCCCACTGCTGCCAACAAGAACGCTGCTGCTATCAATACCAATGCCAATGCCAATACTACAGCTACTACTACAAAGACAGCTCCCCGCCCCCCACCAGCGCCCAAGCCCCCGACCCCAGCCAAGGAAATCAACTACTCGCTTCCCGCCGTCGGGGACCAGAAAATCGGGCGGTTCCGCCTGGGCAGCCGCGCGGTGCCCATCCACGAGTCTCAGGATATCCCCGAGGCACCGCCTACGCCGGCCAAGCCCATGGCGCCCACGGGGGCCGCGCCCTCGCCCATGGTGCGCCTGGGCGGCGCCATTCCCGCGTCCGACGTGCCCATTGTGCGCGAGATCAAGGGCCAGGTCATGCCTGTTCCGAGTGCCATGGATGCCGCGCGGACGGGCCTGAGGAAGCCGAGTGTCTCGCGCAAGGGTCCTCCTCCGCCCGTGCCTGACCGCAGCGGCAAGGATCCTCAGCTCGAGGCGATGCTGGCTAAGCGCCGTGCCTGGGAGCCAGAGGACGAGGACGATGCTACTATTACGCCTCCGCGCTCTCCTTCAAAGGGCCACTCGCGGCTTGCAGACGAGCGCGCCCGGAGAATGACGCCTCAAGAATTCGACTCAAAGCGCAAGATGGGCTGGAAGAATGCAGACGACGAATAATGCTCTTCCGAGTGTCTTTCATTTTTGTTCAAACATCAACTTAGTAATCTGCATCACATTTGTGCTATATCGCTTAGCTTAGCTGTGCAGCCCACCACATACATAGTTTTTTTTTCTCTCTTTTCCTTTTTTTCCAACTCTCTGGGACAGGTTTTGGGACAGGTGTGCTACCGACTGACTAGCTGGTCAAGTAGTCATATTGTTTTTGGATATTTTCCCCCAAAAAATCAAATACTATGCCATCATCTCGAGTCCTGCGCAGCCACTATGTGACGTAATATTCGCGCTTTAACGTGTTTTATCAGTAAGCGGCCCACATCAGTAAGTGGCCCACCCCACCAAACCTGACGCGATACTCTCCACAACCACCACTATGCCGCGACAACAACGCTCTGTACAGACTTCTCGTGAAGGTAGAGTTCTTCTAGCATCTCGCGCGCTTCAAGAAAAACGTGTTGTAAGCTAGCGCCAAGCTGCTATGCTATACGACGCTCCACGAACAACGCTCCGACGACGCCTCCGCGGTACCAAGCCACGATCAGAGACAGCCTCCGTCAATCGCAAGCTATCAGCTGTCGAAGAGCAGTCTCTTGTTCAATGGATCATAGAGCTAGATCGACGAGGCTTTCCGCCCCATATTATCGACGTGCGACGGATGGCAGACGCTCACTCGCTGCGCGTGGCCAAGATCCACCTCCACAG